CTCTTCGGAGTCTTGTACGCCGTGTCGCGTCCAAGGTGTAGGCTCGGGTCGTGACAAATATATACTGGACCTACCTCACTCACCAAGATACTCCCAAATTTGAACTTTAAATTGAGGCACTTAGTAGCCATAGTGTCAACCTATAACTACAATAATAATTAATATATTGTACAAGGCAACAACACCAAAACATATGCAACAACAACAAAACAGAGGCAACAACACCAAAACAGAGACAACAACAGGAAAACAGAGGCAACAAAACCAAATTTTACTCATAAGCATACAATTATACAAGGAAATTATAATATTTAACAATACAAAAACAAAATAGATTAATTGGAACCTTAAAACCCCTACAATATTGATTTTACTCAACAACATACAAATATACATAAGGAAATTACAAAATACCCCAACATTTAACAATACCAAAACAGAATATTTAAATCAAAACCCTAGAATCTTAATTTTACTAAAAAGCCCTAATTTTTTGAAACCTATCAAACCCCTAATTGGAAGATCAGTCGGAAACTCAATCGGAACCCTAGTCGAATTATGGCGAATCATTAACGAAAAATAGGGCAAAATATAAATGAAAAGTAAAGGAAATAAAGATTAACACTTACTTGGTAAGAATTTCAGACAAATTTGAAATTTAATCGACCAACTTCACGTCTAGGAAGACCCAAATCCAGAAGGAGTTCCGCGAAATCTGCCCTTTACTTCGCGAAATTGACCAACTTCACGTCTTAGAGAGCCAAAAGCTTTGAAATCTACAAGAACTTCACATCGTTGATTACAATTCTTAGAGCTAAGGGAGAAGTTTAGTCCGGAAGTTATAGTGAGAAGCTTAGTCCGGAAGTTTTAGGTGAGAAGCTTAGGTGAGAAGATGAGAAGGTTTGATATTTATTTTTTGCCATATTAATTTATCTAAGTGGCTATTATTTATCCATCTGGAAATCCACATCACCACTTTTGTCAACCTGTCACGTGCGTGTAGTCACGATTGGAGCAGGTGGACAATAAAGGTGTACGCGATGGAGGAATAAACAAGTTCGGGGGGGGGGGGGGTAATTAAAACAGAATATAGTTTAGTTGTACACAGAATAAAAAGCTTCAAGTTCAGGGGGATAATGAGTACTTTTGCCATAAAAATATATGTAATTTGTATAAGTGAATATGAGGTATATGTGGAAAGTCCATTGATGAAAATATTTATATGAAAATCCTCTAGTCTTCATAGAATCGAAGGTTGATGTAGACCCTCATAATGGATAAGGTATAACTAATTCTCTAGGATGATGCATGTCAGTGAGACAAAGGAATGTGAACTTTTCCCCTACCAGCTAAAAGATATAACATCCACTTAGTATGAATATTGAAAACTGATTCGTGGAGAAGAAACATCTTCTACTGTATGAGATAGTTTTATAAATGTGTTTCTTGATCACCTTTTGCCAATGGAGTTGAAGAAAACTAAGATTGAAAAATTCATGAACTTCAAGTAGGGTAAGAAAAATGTGAGGGAGTATAGCCTTAAGTATACTCACCATTCTGATATGCTTATGAAGTCGTGTCGATCACGAGGGCAAAGATAAAAAAATTTCTTTCAGGAATAAGAATAATTGTTCTAAAGGGTATGTTGCACTATTGCTTCACAATTTTTTTTCAAACTTTTGATTTATGCTCAGCAAGTTGAGAAAGAGAAGTTGTAGGAAAATCAAAGTAAGAGGCCAAATCAGTTAATGATGGAACTAGTCATCAAAAAAACGATAATAGGAACATGTCATTCTTGTATACAAGGTCTCCAGACTAGCTCCATCGTCATCCAATGCACCAACACCCATGAATCAGAAATTTGAAGCATCAGACTCTCAATCTCAAGATAATATTGTATATTTGTATATGAACTCTTTTATCTTGTATGTAAAAAGTGTGGAAAGAATCATCTGGTGAGTATCATTATGGTAAAGAAGGGTGTTTTAGATGTGGTCAATTGGATCAGTTCTTGAAACATTACCCCTCTAGGAAGGGAAATAAAGCTCACTTCACTTCATCATCTGCCCCAACATGCCATGTTGCTTAGAAAGATACTACTTCATGTACATGCAGAGGTCAAAATCACTTGTATACTTTGTCTAGCCGTCAGGATCAAGAGATTCTCCATATGTTGTTATTGATATGTTGAAAGTTTTCTCTATAAGTGTTTAAGCATTCCTAGAGCCCAAAATCCACTTTATCATTTGTAGCCTCTTGTGTTGTCCGAATTTTATCCCGAACAATTTTTAAAATCCTTTGATGTTTCTATTCTTATCGGTGAGTGTATCTTAGTTAAATGAATTTATACAAACTACATTTTATTAATCCACCATAGAAATACAAAGCCAAATTAGACATAATAGACTTTAATGTTATTCTAAACATGAATTAATTATATGTTTATGGAAAAAAAGATAAATATACCCCTGAACTATCGTAAATGGTATCCAGATACCCTCCGTCATACTTTTGAAACATTGGTGCTCATGCCATCCAAAAACTAGAGCATATATACCCTTTATATAACAGACATACACGTGTCATAATCTTATCCACCAACTCGACATTTATTAAATATCGGATCGACGGATAAGATTGCGCCACGTGTCCCTATTTAGTCTTCCGTTAGAGTGAAGGGCATATATGCTCTAGTTTTTGGATGGTAGGGGCACCAATGTCCCAAAAGTATGACATAGGGTATCTGCATACCATTTACGATAGTTTGAGGGTATATTTGTCCTTTTTTCCTATGTTTATTATGCCACAATATAATAAAATTTTAATTTTCTAATGAACCCATTCATAAGGTGGGAAGATAAAGGAATAAAGATCGATTCATTTCATATCTAAAAGTTAGAAAATTAATTTTTATATAGGTGTATTTATCACCTAGTTATTATTAAAGAAATAAGCGTCAAAAAACACACTTAAACTATCTTTTTTGAGTTTCATACTGAACTATTAAAAGTGTGAATTTCATACATAAACTATCACTTATTAATTTGAGAATAGAAAATACATAAAGTCACCACTAAAGTTATCCCGAATTTTCAAAAAAGATACTTTAATAGTCACATTATCCCACTTTCTTTAACTTTGCAACTGTCATATTATCGCACTAAACAATTATGAACTGATATTATTATATCATTTTTCGATCAATCCCAGATTTTAAGAAGCAAGTGTGTTCACACACCAATCATTACATGACACGTGTTAATTTAATTAAAAATATAAAAAAAAATCATTTTAAGTTTTTTCTTTATTTCTCTCTCTCTCTCTCTTAATTTTTAACTTATTTTAATTTTAATTTCATCTTAAAATCCACTTCATCTTCCACCCCCCCCCCCCCCCCCCGCGCTTTCAAGTTGATCCATCCTTCCATTTTCTTTCTTTTTCTTCACCTCCCACCCTCACCGCACCCCCACGTCAAATTGAACCCCTCTCCCCTTTTTTTCTTTTTTGTTTCTTCTTCTTCTCCAATCAAATTCTTTATTTCAGTGATTTTTTATAAGAAAGAAATCATACTATTTTCTAGACTTAATTGAATTATTGATAACAAAACTAATTATTTTTCTAAGAAAATTTAAAATTTTGAAGGTATCATCAATTACTCCTTTTCATATAACTTTGAAATTAGAAATGATAATTTTAAAAGAATCAATGGATTCCCAAAAAATTGAATGAAATTGATTAAAATCGAATTAAAAAAACTACATGATACATCCTAGTCATCTTGAAATCTAATGGGTATCAAATTATTCGAAATATAAGAAAATATTTGGATAAAGTTTTAAAATTAAAGAGAGTAAAACTAATAGTGGTAAAAAAAGAAGAAGGTGAAGTTGTGGTAAAAATGATGACATTGAAAGTGAAAAACTTCAATGAAGATGATAATGAATTTTTGAAGAAGAAAGAAAAGAGAAAGAGAAAAAAAAAATAAGCAAAAAAAGTTAAAATAATAAGAAAATATATTTTATAAAAAAATACTTGTAAAATAAAATTATATTAGTTATTTTAGGTTACTCACTCTCTTTGAGAGTGCACACACTCTCCATGTAAGGTGGACAAAAAATGATGTAATTATATCAATTCAACATTGTTTAATGGAATAATAAGACGTCTACATAGTTAAAGTGTTTTTTTGAAAATTCGGACAAGTTCAGATGTCACTTTTCTCATTTGAGAAACACATGTCAAAAAATTGTTCTTGGTGCACGTTAAGTAACAAAGTTCTCGATGCACGTTAAGTAACGTTTGCTAACGTGAGATCATCGGCGATGGTACACAAACAACAACGAGCTGCTCCACGGCCACCGGCAAACATGGAAAATGCTTGAACAGTTAACCTAGACTCAGTAGTTGCTCATACACTTTCTCCATTGAAACTAGAAAGCTGGTTACCTGGCATGGGCAGCAATGCAACAGTGTATCCATTCTGGAGAAATAAGATGGGACATCGGCTCTGAATGAGACGGAACCTGAGTGTTCCAGTGCAGTGCGGAAGCTTTTATTCTCGGTTGGGCTGAAGGATACACCGCCGGCGGGGAAAGCTCAGTAAATACCTCCCATCACTGCAAATACAGTTTGAGGAAATCGTCAATTACTAGAAGGTATGAACCTGACCATCCATTTTTTTTTTGAAAAGGCTTAAGATGGTTTAAGCTAAAGTGTTAAAAGTGGGAAAATGCCCTAATTCTTCAATCTGTTTTGTTCCTTAATACGAACACATATTTATGAGTTTGAAAATGGGAGAGAACTCAGAGTAATGAGGTTGAAAATTTGCTATAAAACTCAAATAGCAGCTAGTATATTTATGTATGATAAATACACTATATATATAAGTTAGTTACAGTATGCAATTCTGTATTTTCTCAAGCAGATCAACAAACTCATGATCACCCGCGAGCCCATTCTTGATTCGCCATACAGACAGCAGAAAGAGGAAAGGCTGCAGGGCTAACCGGAGAGCTAATGAACGACGTGAGAAAATCGTCCAAAAGAGTTTAGAGTGGGTGCTTTCCGGCAAGCCCTGAATTCAATTTTCTGAGCTCCAAAGTAATCTCCAATTTTCTCTTCAATGTCTCAGCTTATTTTCTTGGAAAAGTTTTGTTTTTAGTAGTTGTTTAGATGCTGTTCTTTTGTTTGTTTCCACTGATAATTTGACTGTTTTCTATGTGCTTTTATGGATTGCTTTCTGGGTTTTGGGCAAGTCTTATCTAAAAAGGCGGCATCTTTTGTTCTTAGTGGTACAAGTATATTTACACACTTCTAACAGGTGGAAACTGACACATATGTCAGAGAAAGTCCCACCAGTAGATGGACAAAGCCAGTAGTAGAAATCTAGGAAGCTTAGAATGAGACTGGATTTTGATTTTATTTATGACAATTGTTGTCACACCCCGATATACCCCGAGACGCGGACACGAGACCTAGGACCATAAGTGATCCCAAGCTAACCCTGCTGGCATGATCATGAGCATACTAAAGAAAATAAATTGATGCGGAAGCTAAATCATAAATAAAATGAAAAAGATGGGGAATGCCCATATACTATAATTGAGATATATGAAAACTGATGAGTTTAATACAAGGAAGATATTAACTCAATACTAAGCTGAATCTATCTATGTCTGAAATAAGCCTCTAAACTGACTAGAAATGTTGGGACATGCCCCAACTAGGTCTAGCAAAACTGAAACTAAGACTAAAAGTAATAAAAATAAACATGTCACTAGTCCTCGAAGAATGAGGACTCACCACTGATGCTGCTGAACTGAAGATCGGGAATCGATCTAAGCGTGATCTGGATGCTGAGAACCTGAACCTACATCACGAGAAGATGTAGCGCACGTATGCGTCAGTACTTGAAAGGTACTGAGCATGCAAGATAGAGTAAAGTTGAAAGAACATATAACTGAACAAAGCAATAAAACAATGAAATAATCTGAACATGATATAGATACTGAATACTGAATACTGAGCTAACTGATGCAATGATCAAATTTATAACATGTTGAGACTGAATACTGACTGTACTGAAATATGATCAATGCAATAGAGTATGACTGAACTGTGGGAGCTACTAATAACCGACATAAAACCACATGAGCTAAACGTGGAGTCCGATGTATACGCCCCATCGAAAGGACCCAATATACCCTACCAGAGGTATATAGGCATGCAGGCGTGATCACTAAACTGATGTTGCCCATAGAGGGGACTTACACCTACGTGGCTCGTAGTTCTGGGACTATATGGGTACGCTGAACCCTATTCCAACTCGGTATTATGCTACTCCCAATGAATTAAGTGGTTAACTGATTATGACTGAATTTCTGTAAATACTGGATAGCTTAAAACTGAACATGCAAACTGAGAATGCAACAATTAGTCTGATAATGATGCATTAATAACTGAGGCATGTATAACTGAATAGCTGAGATATTTGACCTAGCATGTGTAATTCAAGAACTAAAGAAATGCATAGCTAGGGTTCTGAAATTCATACGAGAAATGATGTAATAACACGATAATTTGATTTGGAACATATTAATAACGAATTCATGATGATCTGCTGTAATTTTAAAAACCCTAGGTCTATTCATAATAAGGGAATCAAGAAACTGATTGAATTCTAGGGACCTAATGGGCGAAAGGAACCCACTAGTGAAATCCCACATACCTGGTGACGAATTCCATGGAGAAATCTTTCGATTTTGGGGATGGAACTGATGGAACCTTGCTGCGTTCTTGAACTAGGGTTCTTGACCTTTTTCTCCTCTCTAGCTTCTAATTTTCTAAGTTTTGATTAATGATTTTGACTAAGGTAAGTTCAAGTTATGTTTCTAGGCTAAAACTGACTAAAACCTTATGATTTAGGGTCTAAACGACGTATCTTAGGGGTTAAATAAAATAAAAAAAGACCAAAAGACCCCTGACTTGACTGCTGTCGGAGTGACCGACAGATTGGACTGGCGGGCCGTAGGTCAATCGACGGTCCGTCGATTGGAGTCGACAGTCGAGTATCTGCCCGATAGGGTTTCACTAAAACGAGCATAACATTTTACTCGGAGGTCAAAATTTAGCAAACTCGGTGGCGTTGGAAAGATAATTCAATTATCTATCATATCATAGCTTATGGGACACCTAATTCATTTTGTGCTAAAATTTATGACCATCTGAAGTTGACCCATCAAAATTTTCAGCTAACTGGCTGCTACCCTCACCTACGATCATACCTACGGACCATGGATCGATTGACGGTCCGTGCTGGTCGATCATAGTTTTTGTCAGAGGCTGGGCTTAAGGGGCATCAATCCACGGACACGAACCACGGTCCGTGACCTGACCTACGGACCGTAGGTCTAGACGTGGGTCAACACTTAGCCGAATTTCTGGCTGAGTTCTGGGGGAGTTTGCTGACATGAACCACGGACCTGCAGGACGGACCGTGGGTCCTCCTACGGTCCGTGGATGGTGCCCGTGAATGCCACCTGCAACACCAAAAATCTGCAATCTGGTCTCTTTTCGGATACGGGGTGTTACATTTGTCTTGCACTTTGCACTGGATATTCTGGTTTTAACTCTCAACCTTAACCTGCTAATCCCTAAGCCAAGGATTTGTTGACAATTTGTAGTTTAAACCAAAATTTCAAATTTTCTTTTAACTCGTAGATGGTAATGTCTATAATAAAATTCCATAAGCACCACAAGTAGTGTTCAGATGGTTTTACTAAGATAGTATGACAAAGTCAAGAACCCTTGTGGCTAGTACAAACTTTGGAAGAACGACTCCCATTTTGAAGAAAATCTTTGGAAGCACAAAAGATGGGAAAAGTGCCTTCCAAGTTAGTTGTTGGAATATTACTTTGTTAATGATGTTTTTCTGAACCGAAACATGTTTACCAAAAGTTATGCTTTCCAACTGAAGTATTTGGTGAGAAGATGAGTGCCCGGAACAAGACACCTTTCCAAAAGCATAGAGAAGAGGAAGAGGCAAAGAAAAAGGTATGAGCTATAGCAATTTTGGTTTGTTGTGAAAATGGGATGAATGATTAATGGTCAAGCAATTTCCATTTTGCTCACTATGTATGTCTTCTATTGGCAGAGGGCAGAGGATGAAACAGCTCGTCTGTATCAAGAGTTTGTGGAATCGTTCCAAGCGGACAATATGCCAGGTTCCAAAGCATTTATTAGAGGGGGAATCATCAATCCAAATGATAAATTGAAGATGGATTATGAAGGTCCGTTGCAAGAATCTGTACTATGTTTAATATTCTTCTTTCTTTGATTATGTATACAAGTCTTGTCTTATTAATTCTTACAAATAAATGACTTTTTTATTACATGAACAAATTATTAAACGTATGAACCTTTTCTATTCATTCGAGGATGGCAGATGTAAAATCTAAAGATGAGGGGTCAGGTTTAAAGAAGGGAAGTAGGTAAACTAATGCTTTTGATTGACCATGTTGCAATGTTGCTGTAATTTAGGATGCTGAATACCAAGATTTTCGTGATGATATCACTATTCTTATTAGGCCTTTATATGTTTATGTGTTTCCAGGTTGCTTTGTGTCAGTTAGTCTCCTTAAAAATTTGATTTATGCAAATTCAGTCTTTCTTGGAGGCTTGGACTTTACCTTCAAATTGTAACTATGTTGGTACTATGTGTATATGGAGAGGGAGCTTGGTGCCTCCACTATCTGCTATATGACAATTTCTTATGAAAAAGTCAATTATAGATTGGGGTCACTAAATTTTCCTTTTGACTATTCCATTAGGAGTTTGATCAATCAATTGTTAGGGAAATTTCCATACAAACAATTTCAACGAAATTCTGATGATCAATCTTTTTCTTTTTTCTATTTTTAGTTTTAGAACGATTCAACCTCCAATAAAAAAGAGATACCTTTGTTAAATTTCGTCTCTTCAACAAGTTCAATAATGACCATAACAACCCTATTGTTTAAGTGTCAGTAGCATAACATTTTGTTAAATAAGGTATACATGTTTTTGTGGGTCCTAGTGCAACTGGTTTGTCTGGAAATAGACGTACCCATATTTTTCCCACATGACTTGCTTTTTGTGTCATTGCCCGTCGACTTGCTTCTATTTGTCTAGGTATAATCCAAATAGGTTGAAGTGTCTATTTTTGTATATACGCCTAAACGGTCAATAATATCAGCATATGATAAATGGGATCAAACCAATTTACTAATGGGATACCCTAACAGGGCATGAGTTATAGTATCAGAAGCATTTCCTCATAGGCATACTCTTCGTGCTCTGTTAGACCTTCAAAGATGTGTGAAAAGAACTTAAATGAAAAACATAATAACATGGATATATATTTATACAAACCTTCTAACCTTAATCGAACTAAGGGTTTTCATTTTTTATTTGAGATAAATTCGAAATTGTTCGAATTGTATAATCATCAATTACTAACATTCGGTTGAAAATTCCCTCTGCTCCCATAGTCTAACACATCACAACAAAATTGATTTAATATTTATAGCTCATACTTTTTTGTTCTTTTAGAAAAGCAACAGAGTCAATTTTTCCCTTGAACTATTTAATGGCAAGACGTAGTAGAAGCCAGCAGAGCCTCACCCTCTTCAGTAGATCTTGAAATCACAAAAATAATGGAGTATATTGATGGGTTTCTTACCATATTACATTTCGATCATGTGCTTATGTCTTTGATTTTAGGATATGAGCTTGAGCTAGCCTTGAAACTGAGCTCATCATTTTATGCATTAGCACCAGACTCCATCACCTCTCTCACATTCTCCCAAATCATGAAAATTCTTGCTTAGTTAAAATTTCCACTAATGATGATTGTTGGACTGCTCCATACTAATATTTGATGCATCTGGAAACAATGTCAAAGCATACACTAGTCTCTTCCTTTGAAGCACTTATCAAAATTCTCCTACATTTCATCAACATATTGACAAATTATGATAGAATCGACAATTGGTTGGACTCTTTCGTTGGGTCTTTTGTCAAGGAGACTGATAAAAGCAATTCAGTGTGGAGGGCTTTTACCCAAGTTTGAATTCCATCTTTGCAAAAAAATGATTTTGTTAATTATTACCTTCTAAAAAAGTGATTTTGCAAAGTTTTAATTGAGGTGGGGCATATGTGAGGTATGTGTCTAGCAACAAGGGTATTTTGAGCTAAAAGAAATAGAGGGCAAAATTATCCTATTTCAAATAGCTTAAGGGTAAACTTGATCCTTTTTCTCTTTGTAAAAGTATGATCTGACGTGTTGTTAGAGACTTAGAGGAAACATAAGTGTAATGGTCTAATAGTGTTCAACAGCAGAGTGCACTCAAATCTTTACTCTTTAATGATTAAGGTGCAAATGAAGAAAAAAGGCAGAATGGTCTGATGGACCCTAATATTTGTGCGAGTTTGTATTCTGAATCCTTTTATTTGATCATTTGTCAACTAAACCCTTAAACTTAATGAAACTCAATATTTTAAGCCATATTTCTGACCATTGACCAAACTTATGTGACAACTTAATTATTGAGTTGACACAAATACGTGATATCAGGCGTTGAAGGAGCGTGAACATCAAAATTTACACTAAAAATATTTTTTATAAAAAAAAAACAAAAAGAAAATTAAAAATAATTTTTCTTACTTCTTTCTTCTTTTCCTTCCCCACCAACCCTTATTTCTCTCTTTTTTTCCCCTTCCCAGCCCTCTCCAATTTCTTTGTTCTCTTTTTTTTTCACATTTTCTTTCAAATTGAAAAACGATAATGTATTGTTGATGTAGATCTGTGTTCTCTTTCCATTTTTTTGGTAATTTAAAACCCATGAGGTGACAAAGATTCAATAGTTTTGAAGGATGAAAAGTGATTGTTGGATATTTTTGTGAAATTAGGTGAAATGTGTTATGTAAAATTGTGTACAAATATTATTATATATTGAAGTATTTTAATGGTGATTTATTGGCATCAATGGTGAAAAAGGATTTATGGTGGTTCAAATGATGGTAGATGGTTACATTTGCGAATGATAAAAACTTCGAGAAAAATTGAACTATGATTTTTAAGAACTTGAAGGGCCTTGTCACGGCAATAGACAATGACGGCCTAAAGAAGAAAACATAATTAAGGAGAATAGAGATGGTGTTAATGGTAGTTGTGGGTTGAGGAAGAAGAAGGAAAAGTGGAGAAATAACTATTTTATTTTTAAAATAGAATACGTATTTTTGTCTTTTGTGGAGTAACATTTTTGGTTAATAATTTAAAAATAGTCATGAAATAATTATGACATGGCATTAATATATGTGACGTGGATATGACATGTCATTTATGTAAGAAAGAGTGAGCAACACACATAGTTGAAGGAATTTAAAAGTCTCATTTTAATTGAGTTTAGGGCTCAGCTGAAAAAGGGTCAAGTAAAAGGTTCTAAAATATAAACTCATACAAGTATAAGGGTCCATAAGATCACTTCACCAAGAAAAAATAATGCAACTCTGGGAAAAAATAATTCTAAACTAAACAACACATTATATGGGGGAGGATTTGAAAAATTGCAATTAATGCTTACTTTTAGTAGACGTTTGGAAAATATTTGGTTGAAGTTGAAAAAGAGTATTTGAAGTTGAAGTTGAGAAAAAATATATGGAAGTTGAAATTGTGCTTGGAGCAAAAAACAAACCTGATATGAGATATTGCAAAGTGAGAAAATTTAAGTCAAAATAATGCATGTCTTTGGTTACAACAAGAGGATGAGTGTATAAAAATAATGCTCAATAGAGTGTATTAGTTATACTTGCATTAGTTATGCATAGACTATTTCTTATGCATTGTTTGGTTTAGTGTATTAAAATAGTATGCATTGTATAAAAATATTTATTTACAAAAGTATCCTTCACAATTATGGTGGAAAAGATGTAAAAGTACTTTTGAGGGGTAATTGGGTCTTTAACCATGATGATGCATGTATTAAATCATTTGCAATACTAATACCTAGAAATCCATGGTATTAATACACTGCTCAATAGACAATAGAGTGTATAACTAATGCAAGCATTAGTTATACATAGCATGAAAAAATGCACCAAATAAGGGACTACTAATACATATAGCTAATGCATGCATTATTTTTGCTAATGCACACTACCAAACAACCCATATAAACATTAATAACGCAAGGATTAGTAACACAGGGATTAGTAATGCCAAGATTATTTTTTATCAAGTGTTTGGTTCTTTGCTTCTCACCTAATCTTGTGTTTGATTTAGAACTCTACAAAAAAAACTTCTATCCAGTTATACCCTTGAGTATTTATGAAATTTTCTATTTCAAGTAATTGGGTCAAGGTAGAAAACTATTGGACAATATTAAAAGGTCATTGAACTTTATTTTGTATCAGTAAAATATTCAACTTAACACTTATATTTTCCAAAATCACTCAACTGCATTTATCAATAAAATAAATTTGATATAACAAAATAAATGATTTTATATGTTATATAAGTTGTAACGATTGATTTCCGTCGTTATAGAAAAGCCAACGGGGAAAAAATTTGGGCCGGAAAACTTTTTGATAGTAACTTGAAATTTCCCAATCTAGTCCAGAAATTTGGACGAAATCGGAGTCAGTGATGTGTTAGATTCATTATAGACATGGGATCATAGGATCTGGATTTACTTGTAAATATGGCCCTAGTACAACCTATGTACTGATCTGTTTCTATCAATAGACACAAAGTTACCAGTTTAAAAAAAAACAAACTATACAGTTATCCCCTAGTCTATTATAAAATGGAATAAATAACCCTAAGTGTTGAGTTGGCATAGAGAGTGCATTTCACTCTCTCAAATAGAATGAGTTGGCTATTTATTTTTATATTTATTTATATTGTTTTGTTCTCTTTTAATTCAAGAAAACATTTTGATTCCCAAAAAAAGGAAAAATAAACTTTCAAGAATATTTTGATGGGTCATCATGGATTTTATTGGGGTTCCAATCTCGTCTTCTATCCCCTTCATTGTTCTCCATGGTAGTTGTTCTTCATTCTCCTTCTTTTCTTCTTTCCATTTTTCGATATGAAATTTGCCATGTTTTGGATAGTGTGAAGCGAGAAAAAGACCAATGCCCTTACTTCATTGAAGTGAAACACAATTAAAAGAAAAGACCAATATATATTATATATAGAGAGAGACCATAGGACAAATAAAATCAAAGCTACTAATGGATTAACATCTAATTCTTATTCTTCTATCTCTACTAGATTGTCAAATTTTTTGTATTCCTCCATTATATTGATCATCAACTTCAACTCCATTATCACTTTCAACTTCATCAACTAGGGATAGGCAGCCACTTATTTTCTTCTCTTATATAAGCTGGAATTATTCCCCCTTAAACCATTATGGTTCTCCTCAACTCCACTTGGCAGCAACACCAGCAACACCCCAAGTGAAACTAGGATCTCCCTAAAAAATTGCTTCATCTTTATGATTTTCAGGTAGCAACACCTCAATGTTCTCACATCCGAATGAACTAAAAGTAAGACTTAGAACTTGGATGGTGAGCTTTTGTAAATCAAGAATTTTTGAACAATAATTCCTCCATCATTCAACTATTGAAGTAGAACAAATATTAAAAAAAATAGTAAGTGTAAAGAAATAACTTAAAGTTAAAGCTAAAAGGAACATAGAAGCACTTGGTCCCTTGGTGACTTCTTCTTTCTCTGTCTAATAGCCACCGGTAATCCAAAAATTACATCAGCGTTCCTAGAAGCTATATTATTCAGACTCTTCATAAATGTCATCGTGTGCATGTTGGATTCTTCAAAAATAGTGCACTTTTAGAGTATCCGACATGGGTGAGACAATATTTTTTGGAGAGTCTGAGCAACTTAGTGTTTAAGTGCTAATCTGATCTGGTATTGTATCTTGCACATCTTTATCGGCGACCAACTTACCAACACAATCATGGAATCCCTTCCACACTTTTTATCGTGTAAATCCTTCTCACTCTTATCATAAGAGTGATGGGCTCAAATAATCATAGCTTGCATGCAAAGGTCGATGAAGTTGATCTGATCACCTTTTATCAATGATCTCAAAGACCTTTGCATATTTTTGCTTGTCAAGAAATGATGCTTGAATAGCCTCTTACCCTGTCTGTAGCTTTATATAGATAACCCATTTGTGGTTTTTGCACCTCATTAGGGATGGCAATGGGGCGGGGGCGGGGGCGGGCTTGGTTGAGCTTAACCCGCAAATTTTTTAATCTTCCCCGCATAACAACTTTTTTCAATTTCAACCCGCCCCGCATAATTCTTTTAATATTTTCTTTTTCTAGTTAAGTTTGATAGTAAAAATAAAATTTATAAAAGTAAATTCATTTTTTCATTAAAGTGTATTAATATAATAGATAATGACTTAAAGAAATATTTTTTAGAGGTCAATTGAGAAACATGTAAGAAATTGTATTATTTTTATTAAACCAGTTTCATTTGCTATCTTTAATATTTTAGTAGCTTTAAAGAAATTATCTTAATAAATAGTACTCTCTCACTCTTATAACATGTAAAAAGTTAAAATTAAGTTTGAACCCACATAAAACCACATATACCAGCAACCCGCCCCGCATTAGTTTTAAAAAAAACACTTCAACTCTCCCCGCACAACCTTAAACCTGTTCCGCCCCGCATAGCCTTAAATCCACCCCGCCCCATTGTCATCCCTACTCCCCATCCATCAAACGAAGTACTTTAATCAAGGGACCACCAATTTTAAGAGCATCAAAAACATATTCCAAAACGAATAAGAAATAATTATGCGTGCAACTTCTTTCCCATCACTTCTTTTGCAAATTTACTAGTGTTCTATTTTTCTGAAATGAACAAGCTTCTCAAATTGGTGGCCTTTTGCATGTGCATACTATGCAAAGGTCTTGTCAGGTTTCACCAAGTTCTTTTCTTTTGTGAATCTCTTCATATTTAATAACAAAGGCCTTTGAACAATGTAAAAATGTACCCCATAGAGAAGGGTCTTTCTTCGAAAATGTCCCTGAACATAAATATATACCATGAGCTGCACATGGAGTCCATTAAACTTACGGGAACACTCTCTTCAACATATCACCCGCTTTAACATTTTCATTTGCATTGTTTGTTACAACTTGAACAACTTTCCTTTCTTCAACCTTCTCTATAGTGTTCTGAAACAAGGAGAACATTTTGATGGAATCAGTGGACAAGTCACTCGTATCAACAGATTCAAGAATAAGCTTCCTTTTGGAGAATTCACCAACACATTGAAAATCATTTTTCCAGTTCTTGCCGTCCACTTATCCATCATATAGAACATCCAAACTTGTTTCATTCTACCTGATGCTTCTCCACAATTTTTTGTCTCTTCCACTTTAGTTAGATAAGGACCTTTAAATTCATGATAAGTAGGGGGCTCATTCTTGGACCAAATTGGCCTACGGCCTCAATGAAGACTCCAAAAGTGTAAATATAATTGACACAATTAAAGGGGAATCCTGCATCGTACACCCACCGTGAAAAAGCCGCAATTGCACGATCCCTCAAAATATCCTTGGCAACATCATGCAAATTTCTTTTAAGCGCTTCGCCATGTCCCGTCTCTTGACTTCTGCGGAAGTAACAATCTAAAGGACCTTTCCTGCCGTTGATCCAGAACTTGAAGAGATTGTTTTTGCAGAAAGCGATAAATCAACAGCTTCACCTTCTTCCATTTCATCATCATCAGCGCCAACTCTACTGACCACTAGGCACCCGTTGGTTGCACATATATCTATTTTTACAGAAATGCATTACGGTCTTTCAAGAGTTTAGCGCATGGTTCTGTAACCTTGGATTAATGCCCTTTTCCCCTCAAACTAGTATCAAAATGAGCAATAAGTTCTCTATGCCCATAAGAAGAAAACACAGTGAATTGATTAAAAGCGTTTTTGCTTGTTATTAAATATGCTGATCACTGGCTTCTTTCTTCTTTAATTGGTTATATTGGTGCAAATTAATGTGTCATTAATGGTTTCTTCGTCTTTATTGCTGCTCTGTAGAAACATACTAATACTTACTCATGGGTGGTAATCATGTGATGCTACTTTCGGTTTACTTGTATATATGTATAATTCATCTTATATCACGTCTCCTTGATCCTTTATCTTTTTCGTTCTTTCCCTTTTATTTATTGATCCTGTCACTGTTCAAGGATAAGATTATTGGTAGCAATTATTCTGGAATGTATCTTGTGTACTGCAGGTATGTGCCTTCTTTCTTACCACCTCCTATGGCAACTAAGGGCAGAGATCATGAGAAGGTCAGTGGGTGTTTGAAATCTCTTTGGTGCAAGAGTAGTAAACTTGTAACTTCTAGATATCTAAATATGTTGGTTACTTCTAGCAGAAGGAGGACAAGCCGAGGGAAAAAGAGAAGGGCAAGGCTAGGAACATTGATAATTTCATGGAGGAACTGAAACACGAACAAGAAATGAGGGAAAGGCATAACCAAGACCGTGAACAGTGGCGTGATCGTCATACTGAAAATTCTGCTGTAAGTGGATTACGATCGGCAACGAAAAAAATGTTCAGATTGTTTTTTTTAATCTTCTGTTTTTATTCTTGAATTCATGAATCAGATCTGAGGAGATTTGGCAAAAAGTCAAGATAACGTATGATGTAATAGCTTCTATTCAGATTGAACGCGTTAAAACTTGAGGAGTGTTGGGTGCATTAAAAAAAGTTGTAGACAGTTAGTTACATCATGTTCTCTCAATGATATCTGGATCTGAATCTTTTGTGGGAACTGGAGAAGTTATTTACAGTACTTAGAAGATTACTTTTACCACATCTGGAGTAGATACACAAGTTTTGCACGAATCTTACATGTACACATCTTGTTGTAATTTCTGATGTGCTATGAGTGCGCACTGTCAGTTTTCTCAGAGCAACACTTCAACGACTATGAATATATGATATTATCACATGATCACAATTTGTCATACTATTTGCATCTATGATCCATTTTCCTTCCTTAACATCTAGGATCTGAAACATAAAATAATCTTTTCATGCATTTGGTCATCTTAAGATGAATTTTCCTTTATGTTACCCTGTGCAGTTAGCAGTTGCGAGTTCCCTTGTCATTAAAAAAGATGAATTTTCCTTTATGGATTTGTGTTATATATCGGATGGAGGAAAACAATTACATCTTTGATGATCCTTTCTTTAACTTTATCACTTTCGTCCACAAAAAATATAGGACTCCTTCTCACTCTCTGCTACTCATTGGATCACTAAACACCCCAAAGGCCTATCCCAGCCCTCTATAGTCTGAACATGCCTCCAATATCTACCTCTGGTCTATACCTGAAAACGTTTTAGGCAATGATCATTTGTCAAATATATTTACTTGGAAAAATAGTGATTTAAAATATGTTATGCCTAACCAAATGGAGGTTTGATATGACCTCTTGTTGTGTCGCAATGATGATATTTATATATCCTAAAATCTTACTCTTTCCTCAGCAATCTAGTCAGTTTGATGAACTGCCCGATGACTTTGATCCTAGTGGAAGGCCTGGATCATTTGATGATGGAGACACACAAACGACGAATTTCTATGTAGGAAATCTATCACCTCAGGTAAGGTTTTCGTGCTTAATTTTCATATCATTGGTTTTTGCTTTAGGTGTTTCTTTTGTGTGATTCCTATTTATTTTATTTATTTGCAGGTTGATGAGAATTTTCTTTTGCACACATTTGGGAGATTTGGCCCCATTGCAAGTGTAAAAATAATGTGGCCAAGGACAGAAGAAGAAAGAAGGCGGCAGAGGAATTGTGGTTTTGTATCTTTCATGAATAGTGCTGATGCTCAGGCTGCAACAGATGAGATGGAAGGTTACCTTCAGCTTCTTGATTTGAATGTAAATTTATTTCTTTATCTATTCTTTTGTTTAATAAGTGTGATTTGTGCTGCTCTTTGTAGAACACTTCTATTGCCCCCCCCCCCCCCTCCCCCCCTTTATTTTCCCCCCTCCAGACGTTTAGGAATTGTTCATTAGGTTCTTAGTGCTTGACCAAGTGGACTTTTTTTTTTTTGAAGTACAGAATTATAGGATCCTCAATGACAAGTGGTAGCCTCAGTAAGATGACAGCAAGTAGTTAAATAGGATATATGTCTGTTTAAAAACATACATATGGAGTTCCCCTAAGGCTTCGTTCTAGTGGTAAGAGCGCAACACGTGATGTGTAGAGTAGGCTCATGTCACGGGTTCGAACCCTGCCGCAAATGAAAGACTGGTATTTGAGTGGAGAAGGGCCATTATCCAGCAAATTCCGAACTGTGCACCACCAGCCTGGTGGGGATTTCTCGGTTTATAAAAAAAAAGAAAAAGAAAAACATACACGTGGAGTCTACAATGCATAAATGTATGAAGCAGAAAAAAGGAAGAAAAATTATGTAGCCAATGCTTTTATATTCTGTATTAACACAAGCAACAAATGTTGCTGATCTTACTTGTTTGTTTGTCTATTGGTTCCAGTTGACTGTCTCCATCCTTGTCCTTTTCTTGGGTTTCCTCTCCTTGTTCTGTGTCTATTCTGATTCTTTTTTTGTTTGAGATATACATCTGGTAGTAGAAGGATATTCACAAGGAACAAGGCTTTGGATCAGTGATTTTCTATTCTTTGTTTTGTCGATAGTCTTCTTCATGAAGTAGTCAAAAGAGAAGCGCAGAAGTTGAGGTGCGCTCAAGCTGGCCCAGACACCACAAGTATATATATATATATATATATATATATTAGCGAAGTGCAGAAAAGCGCTAAAGTTTGTTGGGATTTTAGGTGCAAAGCACAACCAAAATGTTGATTTCAATGAAGAAACACTAGTAAAGAAAGAACTAGCAAAATATATGAAGTAAAAATCATGTCCAATGTTTAAAAGCCATTTAAATTTCTGAATTTAGATGGGAAAAATGTAGTTTTTCTTATATGGTTAGTTTTCTTGTACTAAATTTATAATATCTAATTGCTGATCACTAACTATTCATTCATAACGTTTTTAACAGTTAATGAAATAGTTTACCAAATATATTTATAATTAAGTGCTGTCCTGTTAAACGCAAAGTCCATAGGTGATGAGGTGCTGTCTTAGCACGTGAGGATTGAGACTAAAACACCACCTAAGTTTGGCAAAGTACATAACCTGGCTTTAACTGAGCTTCAGGCATTAGCGCCTCAACTGAGCCTTTAATAACTTTGCTTCTTAGGTGGTGCCTCCTCTAGTTTCAACTATGTGCTCATTCCAAAAGTGTCTTTTCCATGACCTGTCTAAATTTGGTATGAAGTTGGAAATTAAATAGTAGTGTGGTCTTGCATGGGGATGCTAGCATGTGTACTAATTCCTTGTGCACCCAATTTATTGCTTATATTCTGTATCTTCTGCAATACTCCAATTGGATTTGATTTTAGCAATGTTTGTCTGATATCTAAACCACATTATTCTTATCCAGGAGTTATTGTTTATGAATACGAGTTGAAGATTGGGTAGGGTAAATCTGTCTCTTTGCCTTCTCAAGCACTCCCTGCTCCTCCTCCAGGACATATGTCTATCAGGAGTACGGCGGTTTGTCTATTATTTTGAGTACAATGCCCTGTTATATACATGTTAAGAATTTGATAAATGGTCAAGTCGAGGAAAATTAATAATCAATAAATAATAGAGTGAATGATTTGATGAGTTATGTATATTAAACTATTGTATGATCAGTTGAATACATCTTAAAAACAAAGACAATGGAAGAAGCATATGTTTCATGTTGGAATAAATTGTGTCTTGCATGTTGGTTTGATATGTATAGACATCCTGTAGTGGTGTATCTCACCCTTTTTCTTGGAAATGTTTCCCATGTAATAGCTGCTGTTAAAGCTGTAGTTCAGCATGCTTTCTATTGTTACCTCCCAGTTTCTTTTTATGATATCAGATTATGCTCATACACTTATTCAAGAGGTCTATCTTCTTTGACTTTCAGGGTGCAACTGTTATCTTATCTGGTCCATCAGGTCCTCCAGTTACTACTGTTCCAGGCCAGAATACTGAATTGGTATGGTGATTAGTTGATCGTTGCACATTTCCTTGTTCATTCTTTCTTTGTTGGATAATTATCTGATCTCTATAGCTCTTCTTTACAGTGTTATTGAAATATATCATGATTGAGTGAAGCAAAATGTTCAGAGAGTTTATGTCTATTGGAGTAGATTTGAGAGGGTTCTTGTCAGTTTTGTTTTAAATTGCAATTTTTGCCTTATACTATATAGAATAGGCATTTCACTTGGTATGGATTATTGTTTGAATAACAAATATGATCAAAATTTGAAAATACCAAGAAATCAAATAGGTACAACTCCGTATTTAGTTATTTTTAGCAACTTTGTTCATGGGTTTTGCTTAATCATGTGTTTTTTCTTAATTCAACCATGAGGACTGATGTTGCTTTAATCATACCATTTTAATTCTAACTTCTTTTTTACTGGATTTAACAAAGAATGTGAAGGAAGAGGACATTTTCAATAGGTGAATGAGAGGCGATTATGACAGTGTTTGGGGAAATGGAGAAGCGTTTAGAGGAGAAAAAATAGGGATAAAGAGAGATATTACAGATCTCTCATGCGCTTTTAATGAGTGCACTACATTCACTATGCCAGATCAGCAATGTGTGTCTAATAGACACACTTTGAATATACATTAGGTGTTTAAAAGGAAGAAGGCCTTGCTAAGGTGTCTAAACGGAAAAAACGTGCAAGTTCAAGGGGATGCTTATGTGTTAAGCCTTGATACTTTAAAGGGATATATAAAAAATTGACAATTATGTACTTGAAATAATAGATACACCCAAGCCAGATTTAGTACATGTTTTTGAAGTTACTGGATGTTAAATGGTGCATGCGCTAAAGACCTCTACCAGTGTTGTTCAGTTCCTTCAAAATCCTTGCATCTGACACAATTTTGGTGTGGTGTGGAATCTCTACATGCTTTAGTCAACCCAACTTGGATGTTTTGACTACACCTAGGGCCAAGAAGTATATATTAATTGGGTATTTGTTTTGATTTTTGGTTATATCATATATGTGTTCATATAGGGGCTGTTTGGTTTGAAAACATGTTATGCTGAGATTAGTTATATTGAGATTAACAATTAAGCCATGATCAGTTATTGACTGTTTAATTTATTGTATTAACATACAAAAATACTCTCTACCTTATTTAGTAGAAAAAGGGGTTTGAGGGACCTCACGTGTATTTTCGTCATTTTCATTGTTTTATCCCGGTATAACTTATCTCGGTACTATAATTCCACCCTCTGGCAGGAATAACTTATCCTAGTACTAATTACAAATCATGGTATATTTATCCCAGAATTAGTAATCAAACAAGGGATAAGGCAGTACTAAATGTTTATCACAGGACTACCTATGATTGTCCAACATACCAAACGACCTCATAAAGTATTAATATATTTTGCTATTATAGGAGATAACTTATGAACATAATATTTTGTGTTCACAAAGAACTTAATTATCCTAGCTTTAGTTTAAGAACCTCAATTCAGTGCCAATATATATATATATATATATATATATATATATACTTATTTATGTCATGATAAATTATTGGTTGTATCTTAAAACCTGTACTCAATACTCCTCTCCTCATCCCCGATTCCTAAGATTTAAGTGATGGCAATCCAACTTCTAGATCTGCACCTGTGTCAGGTGCCCACAACTGTATCCTGGCAACATAGTCTGCTGCATTGTTGGAATAGAAGATGACCACAGCAAGATCTGTGGAACAGTATACAAGTGGTTATATATATGGCGCACTCTGTGGAATGAAAGTAATTAGAGATAATTTGTTGGCAAAAACAAAAATATTTGCAACTTAAAGCACAAATGTTTAGCTCTCTTAGTCAACAAAAATGAAAATATTTGCACTCATATTTAGCTCTCTTAGCCTTTTGGTGTAAGATGAAAATGTACAGGATGCCTAATGTCCTTAGTTCTTTTCACATGTAGCTAGGTGTACTGAGATGCAATCATATTGTTGATGGTTGTACTACTCATCCATTGCACTCTCTCGGTGCTAACTAATTTTTGATAAAATTTTCATTACATTCTCAAAAAGGTATCAGCAGAAAGTTTTCTTAGTACATGAGAAAATATTGAATTAGGGAGTACTCTATTTGTTAATGCTTGAGCATATAAAGTAAATGCTTGAGTGTATATTCTCGTTATGAACATTTGATATGGAAATATAGCAGTTGAGTGGGTTAAGTCTGATGTGGACCTTGACTTTCCTAAGATTTCCAAGACATGAAAAGAAGATATGTATATTTCAAGAAAGTGCCTATATATGCGGTATAGAGAAATAAGTCCGACGAAGGTGATGGAATGTTTAAGGTTCAAAATATAGATTACATGCATGAGTTTGTAAGGGACGCAGAATACATGTCTTAGATCTTATAAATAGGGACATTTAACTTTTCTTTTGGAAGCACTTTCTTAGTGCTATTTCAATTTTCAATCAGCATGTCTTCTGATGTGTGATTTTGTACACATGTATTATTCTTGAGTATCTCCGATCTATAATGAAGATGATTACTAAGCACCTTTTTCCTATTTCATCTGATGCATTTTTTTTGGTCACTCCAAATGTACTTGATATTATGGTTGTTCCGCCTGAGGATGATCATCTATGCCACGTTATTGATACTATGGCTCTGTGTGTTCTCGACGGAGGTTGTGCTTTTGAACAAGCCATAATGGAGCGAGGCCGTGGAAATCCTCTCTTCAGTTTCTTGTTTGAGCTTGGCTCAAAGGAGCATACTTACTATGTTTGAAGGCTTTATTCTTTTGCTCAGGTAACTTGCTGCAGCTGTAAAGTCTGGATATATATTATTGCAATTATCAATTGGATGTCTGTTTTCTTCATTTTGATTTTAGTAGTTTACCTATGGAATGAGACGTGGGTGCACTTTTACGAAATGAAAGACTCAGCATGTTGACTTTCATAATATTCTTCAGAGCAGGGATGTTAATATGCCAAGTGTTGGAAGCTTAGGATACTTCCCTATTTCCAGAATATTTGGAGGCCCATTCTCTTTCTGTTTCAATTTTTTTGTGGGATTCTATGCCTCATAAGTTAAATATGTTGCTTTCAATTTGCTATCCTCAGTTTTTCTCTTGTTTGGATTTTTTTGATATGGTCCATAACTAATTTATCAGACAAAAGCTGAGGCGTCTTGAGGTTGCATTGATTGAATCTCTTGAAGAAGTTCGGATGAAATTGAGAGTAAAGTTGAAATCCATCGGCAACGCCTACAATCTGAATATGGTTTATTGAATTTCAGCAGAGATACATCAACAAAAGGTAAAGCTCTAAAACTGTCAGTAGTTTGAGATGTCTGTGTATTTATTTATTTATTTATTGAAAATTAAATCCAATAGATCAACATTTTGTGTTGTGATTTAACTCCCATGTCGTTGGATATTCAAGAGAGCGAGGAAGCTGATAAACAGCACTAATGTGTATTTAATTGCATGTGCAGGTCGAATCTTAGGTTTATACTGCTGTGTCATACTCCAATTCTATCTTTTTGTTGACAATTATTTTTTTCCAGAATCTTTTTGCCTTATGCCCATGTCGTCCCTTTGATTAGTTCTCAGATGCTTTGTTGATGTATATCTCATTTCATGGTAAACAATAGCTGAAGCAGTCTGGTTTAATTGCTCTAATTAATATTTACTGCGTTCAACAGCACTATCAGGACATTAAGCTGCTTCTTAGGAGACTATATTTTTCCTAAACTGTGTCTGTTAGTACAAGAAATGGTAATACAAAGAGGCAAATAACACATCACACATTTAAGCACTTAAGTGAGGATTTAGCTGTCACAGTATTATGTTGTAGATTCAATGTCCTTTTAACAATATTTTTCTCGGAATCTATATATAAGATGAATCACTTCTTGCTGGATAGAGTAGGTCATCATCATATTTATGGGAAGATTAGGTATCTGGTGCCCATAAGGATTAGGTTTGGTGGTAGCTTGTGGTATGGATCAGGAGCATGTCACGAGCTCGAGCTTTGATGCAGACTAAAACTTGGTGTTCAGGTAGAGAAAGGTAGAGGAGTGGGCCTATATCATGAGCGTTGTGCTACCTGGTTCTTGGAGATTTCGTATTAGAAAGAAAGAAAAAAAAAGACTTGGGTATCTGGTTGAGCAGGATACTGGTCAGGCAGCTTATATTACAACAACAATAACATACTCAGTGTAGTGTGTGCGCAGATCTTACCCCTACTTTGGGAGGTAGAGAGGTTGTTTCTGATAGACCCTTGGCTCAAGAAAAAGCATATATTGGGAAGCTTTTGTTTGCTGTAAGAAAGGCCACTTGACTGCCTCCCTTCTATTCATTGTCATCACTCTTTTCTGGGGTAAGAAATATTGCGGAAGAGTTTTTTCACGTTATCGATCAAAAAGAATTATTGTCACTTCTTTCTTTGTTATATTATTGATTTTATGTTTTTGTATACAAATTGTCTCATATTTCTGCTTTCATATAAACAGGAGGTAGGTCGTCTGTGGAGAGGAGAGAGAAAAGAGATTATTCTCGTGAAGCGTCGGAGCAGAAGTGGAAGCCCTCCGTGGAAATCTTCCAGCAGAGACCACGATAGTGACAGGGAAAAGCGTCGTGAGATGGAAAGGAAGAGTGGAGGCAGGGAGAGGAGACGGACCAGATGAATAGATATGCACTGTGCAAAATTAGAGTAGTTGCACTTACATTCCTCGGCAGAGATAGATGCATTTGAGCATTTTATCTTTGCTGGCAAGGTTGCACGATGACCCTCAATGGCCCCTGGAAGTAAGGTTATCTTCTGTTAGTATTCTCTATGCTATGCGCCACCCAAGAAAACTATGTTTCCCTATTCAGCTCTGTGGTCTAGCAAATTGTACAATTGCAGAGAATCTCATGAATGATCTGTTAGTACGTACATCTTTATGCTTCAAATTTTAGCTGCATTTGCTAATCCGTTTACTGGAGATTTTT